AAATGTGGTGCATGATAGCGACTAGGGGAAGGGTACACGCCGAGGGAATAGGGATGGAGAATAGCAAGGAAGATATCCGAGGTGCCACTGATGAACGTGATAGGCTCAGTAGGAGCAGACAGTACTGATGGCCCTCACCGGCCGGCGAGTAGCTGTAGTATGGGCCCGTCGAGCTTCTTCTCTAGTACGAGATCCTCAAGGGTGTGCCCACCAGTGGGGCCCCCTCTTGGGAGGAAGATCCGTATCATACCCGAGAGGCTGCCGACTAGGACTTTCATCTGATCGCATCGCGAAGGATAATTTCATGGCGCGTGACGGCAGCAACTTCACCTTCCCTGCGGGGTCGTTGTCGATATTAGCAACCACCACAGTGCCGGCCGTACCATCGATCTCCTCAGGCGTCCCTGAACCCACCTCTCAAAGGGCCTAGGATGTCCGTCCGTACCGTCAGTGGTGGTAATACGATAGGACCACCACTCCTTCGCCCGAAACAACGACATCGACAACAACACAGGAAGGTCAACATTGACAAGAATAACACAACCCTCAAGGATGATAATGTGAAATAGGAGCATGCCTATTCTCGTCGAGGAGCGATGTGAACTGCCGATTGACGGACCTTTGAAAGCTCCCTACAGTTATGAGTGGCCGAGACAATAGCAGTACTAGTAGACTCACCCCTTGCGGAAGAGCTCGTACTCCGCAGCCACCATAACTCCTTGATGGAACACTAAACACGGAGTACACTAGAGCTGTCGATTGCCGACTTACTCTCTCGTTCGCTCCTCGTCATGAAGTCCATGAGAACCTAACACGAGTTGCCGGAGGAGTGGTAATAGCAACAGCAGCAGCAGCAATAGTCCGAACCTGCATCTTCTTCTCCTGGTCAGCCCCCACAATTTGGGTCTGGGCGACATCGAAGATATTCCTCGCTCGTTCGAACATCCCTTTCAGGAGTCTTTCCATCAGTGAGTGTAACTACACTCAAGAGTGCCGCCCCTCAGCCCTGATGGTCTACCCCGAGGAGAGCCGCCAACCGCATGCCAATTTCGAAGTAGTAGAAGCTCTTCTGGTCTAGCCGCATGACTCTGAATA